AGACTTTGGCTGCTTTCCTTGCGTGCAGCCAAAAGGAGAAGAAGAAAGAGGTGGAAAGAAGCAGCCCAGTGGCCAGGCCAGGCGTGTGGGATGAGTGGGGCAAGTTCCCCCCTCCGCCCTTTCCCCCCTCCCCTCACTCCCTCGTGTTGTTCGCAATGCAAGCGACACAAGCCTTGTGTTCCCACAGGCCATGTGAACAACACAGCCTTGTGTTCCTACGCAGCCTGGATTAATTGCTTTGAAGGTGACATTTCTCTGCAGACCACCAAAATTTTCTCCTGGACCACCAGTGGTCCCCGGCCCACTGGTTGGCGGCCACTGGACTAGATGACCTCCAAGATCCCTTCCAACTCTGTTATTCTATTCTATTCTGGCTGCTTTTAGCAATTTTTTTTTGCACCTGGAGGACAACTGTTTCAGGTGGCATTTGCTGGATATATTTTATTTATGTATTTATTTTATTAAATTTATATGCCGCCCATCTTCCTATTGAGATCAGCGGGTAGGTCTGATTTTCGATTGAGGGAAACTGCAAAGGAAAGTCAAAATGATCACAGCTGAGTTTGTTCTCATTTTTGGTCCTATTACGAATGTTCTACAGAAGAAAAGTTTGCATTGTATATTTCATGCAGGTTTGTCCTCATTTAGCGACGGCCTCCCTTGAGCAACCGTTCGCCGTTACAAGGGTGGTGAGAAAGGCGCTAATTGTAACCTGTCGTTGCATTGACGCCTTCCGCAGGCCCGTAAGGCAAAGGAAAGCTGAAGGAAGGTTGCACGAGAGCCGTTGTGGGTTCACTTAGCAACCGCTTCGCTTAACGACCAAGTGGCTGCTTCCCCGCCATGGGGTCGCTAAAGGAGCGTTCCCTGCAAAGATTCAAGCAACTTGAAAGGCAATTAAAGTGATTAAGAAAATAATGGAATGTGCAGAAATGAGTAGATTAACATTAGCAATTAGAGAACAAGAAGAAAAGGAGTATTATAAGATTAGGGATTTATTTTATGGGTGGTTAGAAAGTAAAGTAAGAAATTAAAGGATATTGTAATAATAATGATATACTATAACTGATTATTTTTGAATAAGTTATAACCGTGTTGGCAGGGGTGGGATTCAAATTTTTTAACAACCGGCTCTGTGGGCGTGGCTTAGGTGGTGGGTGTGGCTTGGTGGTCATGTGACTGGGTGGGTGTGGCTTGGTGGTCATGTGACTGGCTGGGCGTGGCCAACTCAACATCACTCACATTGAGGCACGCATCTTTTCGCCTGGCCTCTCATGACTGTGGGGATGCTGCAACAGTCGTAAGTGTGAAACAGGGTCATAAGTCACTTTTTTCAGTGTCATTGTAACTTTGAATGGTCCCTCCACACAAGCAAAGTACCAGCAAAGGAGGGGGAAAAAAAACTCCAGAGAAGTTCCTGAGACAGGAAGTCTAGTCCTGCCAAGAATGTAATAAGGATTAACGGAGAAGCAGTTTCTGTAAGCGACACCAGAATGTTTCCTTCCTGCCTTCCTTACAGGATTAGCCCAGTAATTTCTTCTAACAACCGGTTCTCCCAACTGCTTAGAGTATTAACAACCGGTTCTAGTGAATGAATAGGTGCGAACTGGTAGAATCTCACCCCTGCGTGTTGGCGAACCTATGCCACTTCTGCTGCCACACGAGAATTTGCCTGGAAGAGTTTACTGTGCATGTGAGCGCTGATGCCACCCAACAGCAGATTGTTGGGTATCTGGTGCCCATGTGCAGGGGGAGCAGGGGTGCGTGGAAGACATGCGCTCATGTGCAGAGACGCATGGCATGTGGGGATCGCGCATGCATGCGCAGATGGATGGCGCGCAGCGGGGGAATCCCACTTGCATGCGTAGATGCATGGCGCACAGCAGGGGGATCATGCGCGCATGCGCAGGGGGTGTGGAGGGGCCCAGCACGCATTGCCCTCTGGGTGCTGGCATGCGAACGTGAGCGCAATTATCAGCATGCGAGCCGAAAAAGTTTAGCCACCACTGAGTTATAACATCAATATAATTTTGTAAGAGTTGGGATTTGCTTTTAAGGATAGTTTGAAACTGAAATAAAAAAAAACTAAAGATAATGTAATAATAATATCAGGTGATATATAATAGATAACAGATAATCAGAGTTGGAAGGGACCTTGTAGGTCATCTAGTCCAACCCCCCGCCCAAGCAGGAGACCCTACACCCTTTCTGACAAATGGCAGTCCAATCTCTTCTTGAAAGTCTCAAGTGATGAAGCTTCCACAACTTCCGAGGCAACTTCTGTTCCATGGATTGATTGTTCTCACTGTCAGAAAATTCCTCCTTATTTCCAGGTTAAATTTGTTCTTGTTCAGTTTCCATCCATTGTTCCTTGTCTGGCCTTCAAGGGTGCCTTGGAAGATAGCTTGACCCCCTTTCTCCTCTCTGGGGCAGCCCCTCAAATATTGGAAGACCGCTATCATGTCTCCCCTGGTCCTTCTCTTCTTCCCTAGACTAGCCAGGCCCAGTTCCTGCAATCGTTCATTGTATGTTTTAGTCTCCAGTCCCCTGATCATCCTGGTTGCTCTTCTCTGTACTTTTTCTAGAGTCTCAACATCTTTTTTATAATGGATGCAGTAGTCTAGGTGTGGTCTTACTAAGGCTTTATAGTGTGATATATATATATACCTGACTTGATCTCACGATATAATGTTGATTAGAATATAATATTAAACTCAAGAAGAAATGCATACAAATATTGTGCACATGATATATGTACTCAGTCTACATACTGTATAACTGAAAGAAGGTTTTATTTGTGTTTTTTTGTTATAACATAAAATTAAATTAAAAAGAAAAAGAAAAGAAAGGCAATTTGGAGAAAATATCTGAAACAAGAATTAACCCCAGGAAAGAGGCAGCAAGCTGAGTGAAATCTCAATTTAACTGTTTTCTCACGCACACAAATGGCGCTTTGTCCATCTCACTTGTTTTGCACGTCGAAGGGGAATAAAATGGGAGCGTTTCTCTTTTAGACTTTCCCTCTCTCTTCCCAGAATGGGTTGCACAGAGTCCAAGTTCAACATCCTCCCAGGAAAGGGAAAGCAGAGAGAGAACTCGAACTCGACTCTGGATGTCCGTTATACCACCGAACCCACCATCAAGCAAATGGTAAGTCTGGTGTGCTTGTGTACATCTGTGTATGCATGTCATGCCCCTGTTGGTGTCTGGCTCAGAGGAAGAGGAGGAACAGCCGAAAGGGAGTGGGAGTGTGGCTCCAGAGGTGGTGGAGGAAACTGGGGAAGGGCACAGGCCAGCTGGGCAGTCAGAGGAAGACCCAGGCCCATCCCCTCTTCATCCTAGGGCACGCAGGGAGGAGCAGATAAGGGAGAAACATGAATGGCATGGTCTACGGGGGAGGAAGGGGCCCTGATCCCCTTCATGGGCTGCAGCTGTGAGGACTGTTTAAAAGGACAAACTGTGCATGGCCCAGTGCTGGAAGCAAAGCGTGAATATTCTAGTCTGTCAGTTCTTATCTAAGTTCTGACATCCTTCCCAGTGTGTGTATTTCAATATCTGTAGGCGTCTTCAAGCCCTTATCCTGCCTTGACTCACTATGCTTCAGTGTGGTTTGTGTTGTTGTTTTTTCTATTTATAATTTATATGTATTTTGAGTTTGAATGGCATTTCTTTCTTTTCGCAACTGTTTGTGGGGGAGTTTTTTCTCTCCAATCAATGATAATTGGAGCTTTGAAGCCACGTTGAAGGAATTAAAGGGACTTCACCTGTTTTTGTGACTCTGTTGCTTGTGCATCCCACCCTGGGTCATACACAGTGCATCTCGCTCCAGTACAGGAAGTCCGCAACAGCTGAACAATTGCAGGAATTGACTTAACAACTGCGGCGAGAAAAAATAATAATCACAAAATGATTGTCCCCGCAAAAAGTGCTTTTGTTTCAAGACTTCCTTGTTTTTTCTTTGAAGACGTTTTGCTTCTCATCCAAGAAGCTTCCTCGGCTCTGAAACATGGCCCAAACTCTTTTAAAAACTTGCCTTGCTGAGCACCAAAAAATTTGGGCTCAAATTGTAGTCGTGAGTCAAGGACTATCCGTACTAGTTGCTTCTTTGACAGCACATCGTACGAATCAGCCAATCCCAGAATCAAAAGGGGGATTTTTTTTTTCCTGTCCTTGAGCACAAAAGTCCAGAAATGGTTTCCAGGTAGAAACAAAACTGGTGTCTGGTCCATCATTGGGTCCTGCCATTCTGTTGGAAGTGGGGGTGGGTGGGATAAAGAAGTGGGGGAAGGAAGCTGGCTGGCATTTTTAGCTTGCTTTTTGCTTTTGCAAAAGAATGTCTGTTTGCTTTGTGCAGGACTTTTTTCAGATTCCACCTTTTTCTCCTGCAATCACTTCCCTCTTGATCAAAGTTCTTTAGATTCAGACTAAGAGTTTTGCTTTCCTAAGGGACTGGCTGAGGCAGTTCCTTTTTTTTAATCAATATTTTTATTTTTTTTATTCTTAATTAATAGGCCTCAGGCAATTCCTTTCAGATGGATATATTCTTTTTTTCCCCCGCTAGTGATCATCTCTGTGGTTCTAAGACAACTCCCATCTTATTCTTTGTCTTTTAAAAGGGCCAAGTTTTTGAGAAAGTGTCACTGGCGTAAGGAATAATAATTAAATCTTTGTTTGCATTCCAGGGCATCAAAGGATCTAAGGTCCAGGAGACAGATGGTATGTATCTCTCATTAGAGTGGAGAGTAGATTCCTGGGCTGTAAATATGGACCAAAGAGTGAAAATGGAGGCCAGGAGGAATAGTTGAAGTTCTATCTGGAGGCACATAATCATGGATGCTTCAATTGCACCACGGTTACCATCTATGGCATTTTTTAGCATTATCCTGTAGGCAACTCAGCTCGGTTCCAATCTTAGATTGTCCTGGAGAACATTGTCTTCTGAGAAGTTCATTGGTTGTTGCAGAGGTCCCCTTCTCTAAAGATGGTGGCCAGGATGATGTAATTGAATTCCTGTAGGTATCTAGGCTGGGTTTCAATCTTAGATTGTCCTGGAGAACATTGTCTTCTGAGTAAGTCTACCATTATCACAGAGGTTCCTTTTGTAAAGATGGTGGCCAGGATGATGTAATTGAATTCCTGTAGGCATCTAGGCTGGGTTTCAATCCTAGATTGTCCTGGAGACCATTGTCTTCTGAGTAGTACATCGGTCTATCATTGTCACAGAGGTCCCTTCTGTAAAGTTGGTGGCCAGGATGATGTAATTGAATTCCTGTAGGTATCTAGGCTGGGTTCCAGTCCTACATGTTCCTGAAGAACATTGTCTTCGTAGATGTCCATTGGTCTATCAGTGGCCCAGAAGTCCCTTTCTGTAAAGATGGTGGCCAGGATAATGTAACTGAAGCTTTACCTGGAAGTATATAAGTGTGTGTGTGCGTGTGTGTGTTTCTGTCTCCTCCCTAAACCTTTTCTTGTTTCCCTCTATCCCCCAGAATTGGAGGATTTCGTCGTGTTGGCCTTGTACGACTACGAAGCCATTCACAGGGAGGACCTCAGTTTCCATAAAGGGGATCGTCTCAAGATTTTAGAGAAGTAAGTTTGAGGGGGCCTCTGGGGGATGGAACAGTTTGTTGAGAAATGGTGCTATAAAATTACATAATAATAAAATTACAAAATCAGTAGCATACAAAGAAAATGCCTATAAAATGTTTTATAGATGGCACCTTCCTCCTTCGAGATTAGTGAAGATGTACCCCAATATGAGTCCGAATTGCTAGAAATGCAAAAAAAAAAAAAAAAGAGGGAACTTTTTTCCATATGTGGTGGTCCTGTACAGAAGCTCAAAAATATTGGCAGAAAATTAGAAATTGGCTGGAAGAAATGACAAGAGAACAGATCGAATTCAAACCAGAGTCCTTTCTGTTAGGGATCTTTGATAAACAAATATCAAAAAAAGTGAAATATATAATAATACACATTTTGACAGTGGCCAGATTGGCTTTTGCACAATGTTGGAAGTAGCCTCATGTTCCATCAGAGGAGATGATCATTCAGAAAATTTCAAGTTGTGCAGAAATGGACAAATTAACTTTGGCATTAAAAAATAAAGACACTTCAATATACTACAACAGCTGGAACTGCTGGTACAAATGGATAGACCAAAGATAGACTTCACACTAAAAGGCAAAAGAGGATAGGATAAATCCATAGCAGTGATAGACAGATATATGTAAGGATTAGGTGTGTGTATATGGCATAAAATAAGGATAAAAAAGAGGTCTTACAAACTGTTGAAGATGAGAATGTTTTTAATTGTTTTCTATTTTTTTCTTTCTATTTTCTTCTCCCTTTCTTCTTTTTCTCTCTTTCATGTATGTATGTGTTGTTGGTTTGTTTTAATTGTAAAATCAATAAAATTTATTTTTAAAAAGAAAAGGAATGGGTATTCCCTCCCTTCCTTTCTCTTCTCCCTCCATTCTTTTCTCTCCTTCCTTCCCCTTCCCTGTTCTCCTTCCTTCTTCCTTCCTTCCTTCCTTCCTTCCTTCCTTCCTTCCTTCCTTCCTTCCTTCCTTCCTTCCTTCCTTCCTTCCTTCTTTTATTTATTTTTATTTATTTAAATTTGATTTGATTTGTCAATCACTTACAAGATAATAGGTATAAGTAAAACATGAGTAAGAATACAGGAAATAGGTACGAATAATTGGGGAACAATAGAACAGGGACGGTAGGCACGATTATGCACTTATGCACGCCCCTTACAGACCTCTTAGGAATGGGGTGAGGTCAATAGTGGTTAGCTTGAGGTTAAAGGAGTGCGGGTTAGAGGATGTAACAACAGAGCCAGGTAGTGCATTCCAGGCATTGACCACTCTGTGGCTGAAGTCATACTTTCTGCAATCAAGTTTGGTGCAGTTTACCTTGAGTTTGTATCTATTGTGTGCTCTTGTGTTGTTGCAGTTGAAGCTGAAGTAGTCATTGACTGGTAGGACATTGCCGCAGATAATATTGCGTACATAGGTGGCCTAGTAGGGGCCCTTGGTGCTCTCGGCCCTTGGTGGTTTTCTGGCAGATGTTTCATGACCCAAACTCAGTTATCATCAACAGTGTGACAAGGGAGTTTGTGAGGAGGAAGAGGAGGAGGACTGTGGGTTCCTTGTCCCCTCTGAGCTTGGTTGTTGCCTTGCAGATGTTTCATTATCCAACTAGGTAACGTCATCAGTGTTAGAAGGGAGTAGGGGTATAAGTAGAGGAGGAAGAGGAGGAGGAAGGTGTTATCTGGAGGAACTTTACACGCCCAGTGCTGCCATTTTTATCCTTGTTTTAAAGGATTAAAATAGGCTTTTAAGTCATTCTGGAGGCATATTTTAGGAATTTCTCTACGTTCTGCATCCTTCGTTGGTAAGGCTACCTCCGGCTTTCCTGACAAAATGAGCATTTCCAGATTCCCTTGCGGGGGGGAAATGTTTCTAATTCAAGTTTAAATCTGCAGCCTAGATCTCTTCCATGTCCTACTTGAAGCTTTAGTGAGGAAGTGTGGCCATTGGACTCTCAGAGAACGGCCTGTGACAGGTCGTCCTTGACGTAATGGGGACTACTCATTTACCGTCCTAAGTCACGACTGTTGTAAAACAGGTCAGTCATGTGACTGATCTGATTTTATCATCTTTTTGGTGGTGGTCATGAAGTGAGGTCATGCTTGTGAAGTCACTGCCACAGTCATTAAGCAAAGGCCACAGTCTTTAAGTGAATCAGTGGTTTGTTATGGGCAACGTTTTGCAGCCAACTGGGTGTAAATGTTGGGTTTGGGCAAAAACTGGGGTTAAACTCAGTCATGGGATCACAATTGAGGCTGTTTGCCCTTGTTTGCCTTTGACATATGCTGGGTGGGACACACCCCCTCCCTCTGAGTCTGTAGTTTGGTGTCCTTTTTTTTCTGCTGGTTATTATTTGCGACTTTTAATTATGTAGACCTTCCTGAACCCATGTTGAGTGGTGGCCTTACTGGATGGATGGATGGATGGATAGTTGGATGAAAGGATGGTTGGATGGAGGGATGGGAGGTTGGATGGATGGATAGATATTTGGATGAAAGGGTGGTTGGATGGATGGATGGATGTGGGATGGATGGATGGATGGATGGATAGAGGATGGATGGATGGATGGGAAGGTGGATGGATGGATGGATGGGAGGGTAGGTGGGTGGAGGTATGGATATTTTCATGAAAGGATGGTTGGATGAATGGATAGATGGATGGATGGATGGATGGGAAAGTGGTTGGATGGATGGATATTTGGATGAAAGGGTGGTTGGATGGATGGATGGGAGGATGGGTGGAAGCATGAATGGATGGATCGATATTTGGATGAAAGGGTGATTAGATGGATGGGTGGGTGGGTGGATGAATGGTGGATAGATGAAAGATGGGAGATAGATGGAGGATGATGGATGGATGAACAGATGGATGGACGGACAGATTGATGGATGGGTGGTTGAATTGATCCTACCATTGGAATCATTGGAGGTTTTTAAGAAGTGATTGGACAGCCACTTGTCTGAAATGGTATAGGGTCTCCTGCTTGAGCAGGGGGCTGGACTAGAAGACCTCCAAGGTCCCTTCCAATGCTCTTATTCTGTATTCTGATCAATGAATAGATAAATGGATAGCTCTTTGTATGTATGTATATATGGGTCAATGGATTAATGAATAGATGGATGGATGGATGTTGGATGGATGGATGGATGGATGGTTGGATGGATGGATGGATAGACGGATGGATAGATGGATGGAAGGAAGGACGATTAGATGGATGAATAGATGGATGGATGTTGGATGGATAGATGGAAGGAAGGAAGATTGGATGGATGAATAGATGGATGAATAAATCTATGTATGTTTGGATGGATGGATGGAAGGAAGGAAGGAACGAAGTTTGAATTGATGGAAGAATGAATCTATGTATATTTGGTTGGATGGATGGATGGATGGATGGATGGATGGATGGATGGAAGGAAGGAAGGAAGGAAGGAAGGAAGGAAGGAAGGAAGGAAGGAAGGAAGGAAGGAAGGAAAGTTGAATTGATGGATGAATGAATCTATGTATGCTTGGATGGATGGTTGGATGGGTAGATGGATGGACTTTACTCCTGTTGATTCGGTGGTTTCATCCATGGAGTTCCTTTGCAACAATGCAGCCTTGATTTGGCCATGCCTTCTTCTGGTGTGGGGTTTTTTTTTGGGGGGGGACACTTTCTAGACCTTCCCCCACTTCCCAAGGGTGCTTATTGTTGGCTACTTTTTAGGGAAGTTGCGAAATGTATCTAATTCTGCCCTCCTTCCTCTCCAGGTCGGGCGAGTGGTGGCGAGCCAAGGCCCTTTCGACCAACAAAGTGGGCTTCATCCCCAGCAATTATGTGGCCAGGATCAACTCCCTGGAGACGGAAGAGTAAGTTCTCAACTCTTGGCCTATCCAAGGGAGGGATCTTCTTGGTAGAACACGTGATCTTAGATCTCCCCGATTTCATCTCAGGACTGTAGAGGTCCACGGTGTTAAATATTCATCTGCTTTGGTCCTTTTAGCTCAGGAGAAGAAGACACCCAAATTATATAGCTAAAAGTCTGTAGAGAATCTCCATCCTCCAGGTCATGATTGTCCCAAAGGTGCTTTTTTTTCAAGAGACAATGGGACTTTCTG